TAGAAAGCTTGAAAAGAGCAGTTCCCTGACCAGAGCCGACCAGTTGTTCCGTAGCAATAGCCGCGAGGGACAGACAGTGGTCAGCGGGAGTGGCCGTAAACTACCGCAAAGACAACGAAGCAACGAAAGTAATTGGACGAGCGGTGTGTCGGACGTGTCTGTGTCCACATTCGGCACATTAAGCGACTCCACAGTACACACCGAACCGCTGCCGTCGGGTCCGCAAACGCACGCCAACGCCAAACAATTGCCGCGAATAACAGCACAACAACAGGCCATCCTTCGGGAGAGGGTTGGGGTCGGCAGAGGGGGTGGTGTCGGCGGTGGTGTCATTGGTAGCAATTCTTCACATACCGTGCCTTCTATTCCTAATTCACAACAACACCAACTAATAGACAATTCAATGCCTCTAAACACACAAAACTTCATGAAAAACCAATTGATTTACTCGTCTAATGGTTTCGCCGCCACCCAAACGGCGCCCCATTTAGACCCGACGGGTGCGGCCAATCCGGGCGTGCAGTACGTGTACGCGGACCAGACCAGCGACGGCGGCGGCCCACGGCTGCACTCTTACCATCATTCAGGTAACCGCCGCAGGAGTACTACAGAGAGTGTCATACGAAATGATTCGTTGAGTTCAGATCAATCCGAGTGTGTTGTCCGACCGCCGCCGCCAAAGCCCTACAAAGTCCGCAACAGATCGGGCAAAAAGCTCCGGCCGTATAGCAGTTTCAGCAGTTCCGACGAAGAGATCCGCTCCACACCCGACCCCTCGACCGAAGACGATCTGGACATTGAGAGCGAGAGTATCAGTGAAAAGGGAGAACACATCGACCATAACCTTCATAAGTGCCAAAGGATTCTCAAACCCGAAGAGATATTAGACGCCAAAATTAAGAAATTTCTTGCTGTAAGTTTTACCATAATCTTTATGCCCATAATATATTGGCCGATAAATTCTTAAGCTATAATTTTTTTAGCAATATTAATTTAGTTTTTATTAATAGTGCCATTTATATTGATTTTTAAAATATATACCAGAATTGTTGGTTCTCTACATTCTCCTCCTTATTCTTTGTTCATAACTTGTTATATAATTTATGATAGGATTTAATATTGATTTTAATTTAATCACACGGTTATAACCCCATTCATTGTGACACTACTAGTCATAATGTATATAATTATTAGAATTTCTTATATAATTTACTTTTTCAATTTAAAATTAATAATGATTTTTTGTATTATTTAACTTTTGAATATATTATAAATATAATACTAATGCGAGTGCTTATCGACCTCAGCATCCGATCACATGGAAGCCATCGACGAATGGCACACATCTTATCGGACATATGATACTGAAGAAGCATTTGGCGGACGACACGTCTTCGAGTTCGAGTGCAACCATTTTAGGTCTGAAAGTAGTCGGCGGTAGGATTATAGAGAGCGGACGGTTGGGCGCTATCGTCGAGAAAGTCAAGAAAGGCAGTATCGCCGACACCATCGGTCGCCTCCGACCGGGTCTGTGCCCTTACAAGTCATTATAGTTGTTGTCTTGAATTTAATGCTTAAATCTTGTCATAACAGGCGATGAAGTGGTCGAATGGAACGGTCGGTCACTTCAAGGAAAGACATACGAAGAGGTGTACGATATCATCGCTGAGTCCAAACAAGAGCCTCAGGTGGAGCTCATTGTCTCCCGACTCACGCAAAAGCTTCCGTTGGCCACAAACCCGACACCACTTCTCAAAGAGGATCTACTCATACCTCCGAACAGAATCGGGAGACGCCATACAGATGTGATCGCAAATATGGGACCACAACTCAGTTACGGTCTCTTTTATAATAATCATTATTTTTGACAATTATTTGCTAAATTAATGATATATTTATTCATTTGTTGTTCAAATGACAGACAAAACGTTCATTCGTGGCAGTAGTTTAGGGGCCGAATTGAATCGCTCGAACCGACCCTATTTGAAAGTAACCCGAACTTCCACTATAAGCGGCAGAATTCAGGTATTTATTCACAAAAACCATTAATAATTTACCAAAATCTATAATATTATGCTTGTGTTTAATCTTGGATAACAATTATTCTGACAAAAAAATGTAATAATTTAGGTTAAGCTCTGGTATGACATCCAATCGTTGCAATTAGTGGTGACAATAATCAGCGCTATTGATCTGAGCCCACGGAAGACGGGTTACGCACGCAATCCATACGCAAAAATGTTTTTACTTCCAGACAAAAGGTATTGTAAAACACAAACAGAATATTCTTGAGTCAATGCAATACAAGAAGCGAATAATGAATTGATTGTCTTTATGTAGTGAAAAAAGCAAACGCCGGACCAAAACGATGGTCAACTCAAATGAGCCGCTTTGGAACCAAACATTCGTTTACTCGCCGTTAAGACGGTCTGAGATGAAGACGAAGGCCTTAGAGATCACAATTTGGGACTTTGACCGTTACGGAGCCAATGAATTCCTCGGCGAAGTGCTCATCGAGTTGGCCGTCGCCCCGTTGGACGACGAGCCCGAGTGGTATCTGTTGGCCACTCACGAAGAAATATTTGCTCAATTAGTACGAGAATCTCATTGAATGCACTTTTATATATTGAAAGCCTTTATTCATTGATATATTTGTTTCAACAGCGACTCCAACAGAAGCCGTACCTGACCAGTGCTGACCGCATATCTCCTTCTACTTCTTCACGCCTTTCCGACAGTGATATCTCCGAATTAGAATACGACGACGGCTTCAACACTTCCAGAGGTTTGCCCATTACTTCATATGAGTTGATAATTAAGACATTTGTTGCTATTTATATGATTAGAGTCGTGGAGAGGGCTATTGGCCGACACAAGTCAGAGTTCCATCGGAAGCAGCGGTAGTCCGCCGCTAATGAATACAGTAGACCCGAAGCCCAGTTCCCGACACAACCCGTATAACTATTTACCGCAAGACGTGTCGACAATGGGTCGAAGGGGACGACAGGGGCTGTTGGCTGAGGGGAACGCCTCATCGCTTCCCACGAATTACATACTCAACGAAAACGAAAGTTTTAGATATCGACCGGAGTTTCGCAAAAGCAGTTCACAGCCGACGCGTTCACTATCGCCGCCTTCGCTGCGGTCGCGGTCGCCCTCGCACTCCATCGGAACGCCCACCAGTTCTGTGGGCGGCGGACACTTCAGTAAGAAACGACACTTACCTCAAGTGCCGGCAGTGCCCCGACGTGTCGTCGATAGCGTGTACACCGGTTTCGATCCTTTACAACAACAACAACAGCAACAGATGCAGAGCCGGAACTGGAGGCCAAACGTACCGCAAAGACGATCCGTCGATCGGATGACAGGCGGCATGTATTCCGACAGTGAGATCACCACAAAACCGGTGTTTGGGAACCGACAGCTTT